CCCCAAAACCCCAAAACCCCAAAACCCCAAAACCCCAAAACCCCATGGGCTTATAAAATTATTGATTAATGACAGATTCGGAAAGTGATGGTGTAAGTGAGCATGTGCAGGATGATTATTACAAAGCGTATTTGGAAACTATGGAGCCGTATACTCAAGAATACTCCAATGCTGTTAATAAGCTATCTTAGTAAGTGCTTATATTCTAATTTTTTGCTCTCACCACTTCATTTTAATGTATGTTATATTAGTTAAATTGTTGCACATTAGCAGAGTTTAACCTGAATCTTTAGCTTCGAAAAGAAGAAAGCGAGAGCAGAGAATGTAAATTTAGGCATCGAAGAGCTACGCTCATCAGATGGCTTACTTCCTAACGAGGTTACTTTTTCATCTTCGTCAGGAAGCTTAATTTCTGATAAACCTGCTGAAATTCCGCAAATTGGTGAGGAGCAAAATAAAGAGGCAAAGAAATTTAAGAAATGAAAGATGTAAGAGCTTTTATGTTCTTCTAATAGTTCAATGTTTATAAAACAAACTCTCTCGATTTGATTCATTTCTTCTATATTTAAGATACATTTCAGAGGGGTTTCAGGAATCTTAAATTATTTGACAGACATCTCTATTTTACCAGAATAGTTTTAGAATTCTAAAAATCTTTAAATACTTCAATGCATTCAAAAGATATCCTAAAAACTGTACTTTCTTACAAACTTTAAAAGCTAAGTAATCCTTCATAAACCCTGTAAAGATACCTAACAATTTCAACACCTTGCTCCTATACCTCCTCTCCTTCTCAAAATCCTAACTTTCCTTCAGCTTAAAGGACTCCATGCCTTCGCAAGAAATCTCACAGAAGTTATCAAAATATGTGCAGGTGAAGGAAAAGAAGTGTAAACACAAAAATAAAATCTTGGAGTTGGATTCACAGCATTTAAGAGAAATTAGCAAAAAGTTGAATATGAATGCTATTAGGGAGAAGCTGGCCAAAAAGAAGAATCTATCTACAAGTAGGGTAAGGCATAAAGTTAACTAGCTCTTAGCTCCTCATTATGTAATATTTGAAGAGTTTAAAATATTAAGAAGTAAAAGATCATTTGCCACCAATTTTCATAAAATTGTAAATTGGTGAATCCATATTTTTCGATTTTGCAAGAATAGATTTCTTGAAAATTTCCTCTCCAAAAAGAAAGAAAAAATAAATTAGAATAAAGAAAGTGTTATCAAAGAAGATATTATGTTGTCCATCCTTAGTAATCGTGTAATAGGATAGGGGATGGTGCAATACAGAATCTATGGTTAACTTGTTAGGATAATAAATCATAAATTTTATCATCAAAAATCCCATCTATAACCCAGATCCTGTCTTCTCTCCCAGTGTTGTCACCAAGTGCTTAAAGCTGGCTGAGCTATTAGACTTTTGAGTGAGAAGGATAATAGCTGGACTGAGGGGATGGATAGTGCTGGCTGAGGAGGAGGTTTAGGTCAGGATTTGAGGGGAGAGAGGGCTAGGGGTAGTGACTTGAGAGGAGGTTTAGAGATTATGAGGGGTTTTAGCGCTAGGAATTGTTGTATTGCGTATTTTTAGTGTCTATGTGACTGTTTTTGGTGTATTTTGGTTGTAAGAGAGGTTGGAGTTCTAAATATTTTGAGAAAGATTGAATATTTTTTAATTATCGGTGTATTCAGTTTAAGTATTCAAAACATATCTGAAATCATATGACTTTCTTATGAAATAAAAAGTTAAGTTTTATACAGCTTAAAATCTTTCTCAATTTTCGAAGAATATGAAAATTTCATCATTGATGATTTTTTGTTAGCATTCAATACAAATCTAAATGAAAAGGTATTTGAACCATCATAAAGCATGAAAAAAATCTATTGGGCTTATAAATTTGCTTGAAACCATCTAGCAAATTTATGTTAGCAAAAATATGCTAGTTTAGCATATCTCTAACAGTAAATATTTAATTAAAAAGGAAGAAAATAGAGAATTTACATTTCAGCTCTTATTTCCCTTAAAATCCCCTGTTCTAAAATATAGCGTACCCTACTACCCTCAAATATCCTCCTAAAGCTCTATTTCCCTTCCTCAGGAACCTCTCATCCACCCCTCCAACCCCCCAAATCCGATCCCAAAATTCCACTAAAACACATTCTCCTTCCTCCAATCCCTCCTAACCACACTCAAATTCCTCTACTCTCCAAATTTCTTCTAAAATTCTACATTTTCCCACTGGCTTAATCCAAAAACCCCATCCACCAATTCTCCTTATTTTTAACGAAGAAGAGACCAGATATGGCTTTTGAGATTTTATGAACAGATTTTTATAAATATATCATCCAAACTATTTTCTTTGCATAAAATGTAATAGATCTAACTATGTTCTATAAATTTTATCCAATCTTTGCCATTCAATTTTCGCTTACACACGTTCTTTTCTATCTTCTTTAAATCCGATTTTAAATTCTTCATTTAATGAGAATTGTATAGGGTAACAAGAGTTCAGTGATTCTAAGAAATTACAAAGTAACCAGCCTGAAATCATATCCAAATCCGACAAGTACTATAGTTTCTATAATACAGTAGATTGATTAACGGATTATCAAAGCCCTTGGAAATACGATGAATGTGTAAAATCAACCAAGCACAAAGCAAATATGAGAAAAAGTAGAGATTGCTAGTTATTTTTAGGCTATGGTCTTCATAAAGCCTCAAAGATTAAATACAAAATCATAAAGCAGAATCCTTCTCAGGGTAATCAAACCTTGAACTTGATACAATGCTCAAAAATCTCTTTAAAGCCAGATCTTGAAACTAATCCTTCTGTTTTGACTCCTAAAAGGTAAAAAAGTAATGTTAATTCATAGAAACGAAGAAATTAACAACAGTATTGAATCAAGTGGGGTCTGGGAAAACAGCAAAAATGAGCAATTAGAGAAAATGACTCAGTCTTCTGAACATGTAAGGTTTTTCTCATATCATATAGACAAATATTTCTATGAGTTCTACACTGTTATCAAAGCCGATGATATCTCCAAAACTAGCTCAAAAAGTGTTTAAAGTACCTATAAGAACTAACCTGTATAGAGCGATGGTCCAGTGAGTAGCTACATGAAGATCCATAAGAACCCTCCTCAGTAAGATTCATCTGATAATGATCATAAGTACCCTGAAGAGAGCAATAAGAGCAATGAATAAATAACAAAATGAACTTAACAACAAGTAAATTCTACTGTAACCTATGTAGATAATATCCCAAAAAGTACTAGAAGACTGTCATTAACTTCCAAATCAGCATTGTCGACTGCTTCAGTTAAGATCTGTAGAAAAACCGAGCATCACAGAAAGCCTGATTCGAAGCAAAAGATTTAATAATTAGAACAAGAGGAGCTCATATTAATTATTCAACAGTGGAACAATGAGTAGGGGTTTTGGGGTTTTGGGGTTTTGGGGTTTTGGGG